TCAGGTAGCCAAAGTATTGGAGCTTCAGCTTCAGCATCAGTCTTTCCAATGAATATTCAGGACTGATTTCCTTTAGGATTGAATGGTTGGATCTCCTTGCTGTCCAAGGGACTCTCAAGAGTCTTCTCCAACATCACAGTTCAAAAGCATCCATTCTTCGGCACTCAGCTTTCTTTATGGTTCAACTCTCACATCCATACATGACTATTGGAAAGACCATAGACTTGACTGTATGTACCTTTGTCAGTAAACTGATGTCTCTGCTTTTTAATATGCTCTCTAGGTTTGTCATAGCTTTTCTTCCAAGGAGCAAGCACCTTTTAATTTCATCTTTTAATTTTCAGAAGAGGAAGGTAGACTGAAATAAGAAAGAAGTCATGAAAGTGATACTTGAGTTGGGTACTAAAAGAATCTGGACATAGGGAGATGGAGTAAATAACATTTCCCATAAAAGGAAAAAGCAGAACAAGCAACAGCCAAGAAAGTAACACATCAACCTGTGGAAGGGTGGGATTGTGTGACTTAGAAGTCAGATCATGGAAGGTCTTAAAAGTCAGAGTAAGAAGTTTCATCAGCAACCACCGAAGCAGGGTAAATGTTTAGTACAAGGTGCAAGCCCATGTACCATCAGTGAGGTTAGGTGGGTATGAATTATCAGTGGGGACTGTAGAAGTCTTCGGTGCACTTCCCCCACCTTCTGCTGATTCCTGAATGCAGGCTCTCCCTAAGTGGCCAGTTCTCACAATTTTCTAAGCAAAGCAAAGCAAAAAAAAAAAAAAAGGGGAAATCTAATTTTTATATGAAATCACATGATTGATTCCATTCTTTATACAGTGAGAGCCAAACTAAATTTGTATGCAGGCTCAGGGTAGCCTGTGGCACCCAATTTGCAAAACTGACATGTTGAGTGGATGGTAATGCTGTTTCTACTTCTTGGCAGACCACTCTCCCAATCAGATTTATTATCTGATTGCTTCTTCTACATAATTAGTTGTGTGTGTTAACTCTAAAGGGTGCTATACTTTTCCACTCTCTGAAGATAACCTTGATTATTCAAATCCTGACCCTGCTGATGGTAGTCCACAATTGTTTCATGTATCAGAGTAGGCTCACTGCTGTAATGAAGAAGCCTAAGTGTTCAGGGACTTAATATCACAGAAGCTTATTTCCATCACACATGACAGTCCAGTGTGACTGTTCCTGCTTGGTTGGCTTTCCCAACAAAACGTTTTTAGGTTCCTTCCACCTCATGGCTTTGCCTTCTCTGGATTCTGGCATATTTCCCTTTAGCCATAAACCGGGAAAGATGAGAGAATGGAGGGTTACACATGGGAGTGTTTCAATAGCCAGACCTGCACTTGGGCGTATATTACTTGGACCCACATGCACTGCTTATGGTTCCATTATAGATAAATCAAACTTCAAGAAGGGTGGGAAGTGAAGTCTAGCAGTAAGCCCAGGAGGAAACACGAAATGATTTGGTAAATGAACATCTTGTCTCTACCATATTTTCCAAGCAGTGTTTTGATTTCATCCAGCACTGGTCCTTGACTCAGAACGAAATGTAAGGTTTTATTTCATAGTTAGCTATAAAAAAAAGTTGAAGTGACATTCTGTAACTGAAAGCAGGAAATGTCACCCAATTTAGTGATTTTTCTAGATTATTAATCTTTTATTCACATTAGCCACAAAATGTATTGCACTTCTGTTCTCTTCTTTCCCCTAAAACACATAAGATATTCCACCTCCAAAATTCAACAACACAACCTTGGTGATTCACTATCTGTATTCCAAGAGTTGCCCTTCTTTCTGCTCCTATAATGGCACCCTTTATCTAAAGTGCACCCAATATACTTCACTTGTACCATTTAAAAGGGTGAAAAACATGCTTTAATGTCATTAGGCTTTTATTTCATACCAGGAAACAAACTCATCAAATACTTTCATGAAGTTTAAGATCTTTGATCAAGACAAGGTTTGATTAAGCAAATGACTAGCACTGGGACCTGATCAAAGCATAAATGTCAATGTAATGATTATTCTTTCCTCTTCTGTATAGTGAATGGTTTAGACTAGTTCAGTTCCATGATCCCATTTAAATCTGACATCCATTCATTTCAAAGAGCAAGTTCATGAACCTTGTCAGTGGTACATTCAGAATGAGTATGAAAGCTCCCAATTCCTAGTCCATTTTGATGCTCTAAACATAATCAAGACACTTAGTCTTACGGCTCAGAACATCCTTAGCAGTGAGTGATGGCCCACTTGTTTGCCCTGAGAGACTGACAGATGAAAATCATATACAGAAATTTTAGAAAGAATAAGCAATTATTTCCATCAATTCAAAAGGTCACAAGAGTTTAACTTATATTTGAATAGCATTTGGATGGCTGCCTCAGAAAAATTCAGTAATTACGCTTGTAAGATTTTGAATACAGAAAGCAGAGAGAGCAGAGAGGGTGTAAATAAAATATAAATACAGGTAACATTCCCTAAATGAGTCTGATTTTTAGTTTATGATTTGTCATTCTTGAGCTTCTTTGCATGTAGGTAAAAATTTAAATTTTCTTGCAACTTAATTTGCTGCCTACTCTTACATTTTTAATGAAGTATTCAACTAATAGAGGAAGTATGTACACATTTTCTTTACCATTATCATCATATAAAATTACATATTTTAAGTAGAGAATAATTTATTTTATTTATTTTTCTTATTATGTGCCTTTGTTTATTCACTTGCACATCCATTGTTTCACTTTTAGTTTTAAATATTATAATTAGCTAAACTGACTCGGTAAAAGATCATTAAAAATACACTTCAAGAAATAAAAATGCTTATTTTTAAAAACATGAAAATATAATCATTATGTACAGATTCTCCAAAATTATTTAATTCTACATAAGGCTCCTCTGGTCACTCAGATGGTAAAGAATTTGCCCACAATGTGGGAGACCTGGGTTCAATCCCTGGGTCGGGAAGACCCCTGGAGAAGGGAATGGCAACCCACTCAAGTATTTTTGCCTGGAGAATTCCATGGACAGAGAAGCCTGGAGAGCTACAGTCCATGGGGTCGCAAAGAGTTGGACACAACTGAGCAACTAATACACATACACACATAAGTGAAAGTAATATTTATACTTTAAGACATTTTTAGTTTATTTTATTAAATGGAAATTAATATTTTACTGTTTCCAATATTGACTGCATTCATTTTCAAAATTACATTTTTATAATTTTAAAATTAATTTTTGTGTCATTCTTAAAAGTATAAAAGCCTAAATTATTTTTAAAACTTAATTTCTGACCATAAACCTCTTATAAGTCCATTATTTTTCTTCACATTTATATAGGCTCAAATTTCACAGATATTTTTCCACAACAGAGTAAAACTGTTTTTTTAAACTGGAGGCTTCATAAATTCAACAGATTTCTCTCCCTCCAGAAAACTGCATAGAAGAGTTTAAATTACTAACAAAGCAGTATGAGGATTATCTTACACTTGCAACCGAGAGTTCCCATAATTCTTCCTCTTGTTCAGTTTAAATGTCTTATTTACTTCAAATTATTATCAAGTAAACATGCTGGCATCTTTCTACTAAACATCCACTATATACAAGATTGACATTTTAAATATGTACAAGAATAAAATAAGAAGCACAGTTCTTTTTGAAATTAACAATATCAGGTGTAGCTCATAAAGCTAGTTTTAAGGTCATGCTAACAACTGCCAAAGCCCACATTAACTCACAGAATTGCAGACAACCGCAATGGAAACACTCAATATTTCCGCAATGGAAACACTCAATATTTTCCAAAGGAATGAGGAAAAATTACCACTTTTGAATAATACTATTAGTTAAACAGAGGACGTGCCAAAGACATGAAAATAACTTGGTCTAATCTAGAAGATGGTTAAATCATAAACATATCATCTCATATTAATCTATTGTTATTAGGAACTGTGCTATTAAGCTCTGAAGAGATATGCTTCCATTATTTATTCCGTAAAGTAGCAAAACAAAGTGAAAGTGAAAAAGTGATAGTAAATTGACGGGTTGAAACAAGTTGTGATGGAAACACAGTGTGAGTTACCCACCAAGGGCACACACGAAAGGAGGCTCAGTCAGTTGGATTCGGTCAACATGTGAGTTTATTCACAAAGAGCTGATCAACAGTAAAAGTACACCTTCCATACTAAATGGTTGGCTTGAATTCCATTATCAAATAGTGAACCTAACTCAGCCCTGGTTATTACAGTCTTTTCTAGTTTTAGCTTTATGTGGCAAAACAGATTATCACTGTTGCATACCCACAGAACATTGTTGAAGGGCAGGATTTTTCAAGAGTTAAAACAAGGATTGAAAAAACATGTATTGACCCTCCCTTTGCAAATAATTGGCTTGCTTACTTGCATTCCAGAGGATCTAATGAACTTAATTTAAAATTGCAGGGACCATGTGGAAAAGAAATTAAAACTTTTATCAGTAAAGTTTATTGATTAATTAAAACAGAAAAGTAAAGCTAAACAGAGTGCATGAGTGATGTTTCATGGATATTGTAATACAAATCCTAAAAATGAATTATTAGATGTAGAAGAACATCAGGTGTGTATGTTTGAGGGAAAAGCTTTTTATTATTTTAGGAGACTTGATATGGGAAAAAGTTTGAATTAAAAATTTACTTGACTGGTCATAAGAAATGTCAACTTTACATTTGTTAATAAAAGAAAAGGAGTTAGTAGATTTAAAGAATGATTTACCACACATAAAAAGATCAAATTATCAAAATGTAGGTGAATAGTGAGGAAGAAGCCAATGGGTGCAAAACAATGAATTCTCTTCTCTCATTAGCTGTCACCTGCTTATGAAGTTTCTCCTTGTTGATTAGATAGAAAATTAAGAGGTTATAAGGACTTCACTAGAAATTGTGAATAGCAATTTCAGACATAAAATCTGATTTAAAAAAATATATATTCATAAAAACACACTCAAATTCCTCATTAAAAAACTTAAAAAAATTTTATTTGGAAGTTTTATACAAGTTTAATATTTATTATCTTTCCTTACCCTTAGTAGTTTTATTACATTAAATGATATAAAGAAAACATGATTATTTTCACCAAGGTCCATGTAAGACGCACCCAGGATCCCTCGGACTTACCCCAGAGTGCCATATCATTCATGTTCATGTTCTATGTGTGCTACAGACATGAACTTTGAGGATTCCCATCTACAGACAGTGTCTAATATAGAATTCTCCAGTATATGTAGAGTATGTATGAGTGAGGTTCAATCAATACCTTCATCCAAAAGTGAACTTCAAAAGACCCAGAAACACTTAGATAACTACATGAAGTTTACCTTAATAAAATTATTCTTAAAGAGCTCTGCCGTACTTAAAAAAAAAAAAAAGCTAAAGCAAAAAATTAAAGATCTAAAGTAAACAAAGTGATAAAAATGACAAATTTCAACCTGATGCCCTACTTGTAAATACATTATTAAGTTGAGGAAATGTTAGATATTAAAAGTCTCATAATTACTTCGTAGACTAATCTGAGTTATTTCTTTTTTATGATGGTTCTATTTTGGAGTTGCTCAATTTTTACTCATGTTCTTCCACTCCTCTCCAGCCGTTTTTCCCTAAGTATGTCTGGCAAGATAAGTTAGAGAGGACATTTTTCTCTCATATTGGATTCTGCAATAGGAAGCACACTCTTCTCTTAGGAAGAACACTAGAGGGGCCCTAACCACTGCAACATGATGATATTTGACCTCAAATGGACACTGAAAATGCACAGGTAAGACATCAAACAGGGCACCAAGACAACAGTAGAAGCTAGTTCTCCCTAGAGGGTCTGACTACTTTTATTACCTGGTTATATAGAACTTGCATTTCAGGAAGCATGAATGTGACATAGTCACAATAATAATAGGCAGCAGCAAATATTTCCTTTGGGAGATGAGGAGAGAAAAAGGAGAAAGGCACGTACTATTCAGGCTACAATAATATTCAATGTTCCAAGCAAGCCTAATAAACAGTAAGTCTTCAAATATATTAGATATACATGAAAACATATTGGAAACAAAAACCTCTCAAGCAACTAAGGGTACTTGTAACATAAAAGATAATTAAAATAGCAGTATTAATAACTGTTATTGCCACTGTTATTAATCTTTATTACACTATTTATGATAAGGGGAGTTATAGACACTTTATTTTCAGATGTCTCAAAATCTTAATAAATACACAGAGCTTGTAGAAAACACAACCTTATTGGAATGCCCCTCATATTCAATTAAAAGGTAAAATTAAAACCTCACCTAGATAGCAGCTTCTAAGATATCAAAAACATTTAAGTCCAGTCATTATCTTCTAATTAATAATAAAATAAAATTTAAAACAACAACAACAACAACACTTAAGTCCTATACTATCTTTGGTTGTTTTCCTTAATTCTAGCCCTGAAAGATTAATGACTTCAGGACATCAAAATCAGATACTCTGTATGCGGATCGAAATGACAGCATTGTGTACTAAAAATGTCTAACATCATGTATGAACTCTGAATTATTAACATGTGAATCACTACACAATTTAAAAAGCAAACATTTAGAAAAAGTATTACTAGTACAAGATATACTTTACATCAAAATCATGGATTATAATACAGTTTTCATCCTGTCAGAAGAGGATCAAAGGCAACAAAACATGCTGCAACAAATTTATTTAAATTCGCTCAAAAATATGACACAGAGTTAAAACACTGCAAACATTCAGTCTATCGAACTATGAAGCAGCTTTTTAACATCCAAGCAGTCATATACAGTATAATACAGACATGAATAATGATAAATATATTATGTCAAACAACTTTAATTTTTGCTAGTGAACAAAAAATCCCTTTCAAGTTATTTTTGGCATGGTGCCAGAGGCTCTGTCATCTAACTGAATTCAAGGCACTGTTTATTTACAGGTTCATAACACGAACCACTTGTAGTTTTCAAGTAGATGTATGGTTAAAAGGCAGGCTTGTTCATGTATTCTTCCATTGTCTGAAAGAGAACAACAGATTAAAATGATTTCCCCTTAAACCACATGCTTCAGGAGACTTTGAAAATATCTTCATTCTTTTACTCGTGAATTATGCCACTGGTGAAAAGAAGCTTTTTTTTGTTTGTTTGTTTGGGGGTTTTTTGGTTTGTTTGGGTTTTTTTTTTTTTGGCCATGCCTCACAGTTTGTAGGATCTTACCTCCATCACCAGGAACTGAACCCAAGTCCACAGCAGTGAAAGTGCAGAGTCCTACCACTGGATAACCAGGTAATTTCCAAAAAGAAGTTTGGGGAAGTGTACGTGGTCATAAATATTTGCATTCTAATCAAGAAAGGTGGTTCAAAGTTTGAGTGTAATTTATATACACATCCCTATGGCTGGAATTAAATAACTTTCAACAGAGGAAAAGCTAAGTTTGACTGTAAAATCAATGCCTGATGAGAGAAATGCTTAAACAACAGCTGCCAAGCTATCACAGTTGACTTCAGAAAAATGTACCTGCTAAAATGACCATGAGGACCATTTCCAGGAACAGGTATTAGAGAAATCTGAATGGTATTTGTATGACATATGTATTGTTTTTATTGTTTAGTCACTAAGTCATATTGGAGTCTTTGCGAACCCATGGACTGCAGCCAGCCAGATTCCTCTGTCCATGAGATTTCCCAGGCAAGAATACTGGAGTAGGTTGCCATTTCTTTCTCCTGAGGAACTTTCTGACCAAGGGATTGAACCCACGGCTCCTGTTGCATCTCCTGCATTGCAGGAAGATTCTTTACTGCTGAGCCACTGGGGGAGCCATAGGTATCATTACAGATACAGAATATTTTATTGCCAAGACATAAAGGATAAACAGACCATAATACTTGAAATTTCTTCCATGTATTTTGAAAAGGCTTTCCTCCAAAGTATACAAATTATGTTTCTTCATCCTCCTCATCACTTACCAAGTTTGCTAATATGCCACAATATCATAATTCTTTCCCAGTACTTAAAAAAAAATATATTTAAATGGATTCACAGTTACAGGCAGAGTTAAAAATTACACTGATGTTGCAAACCTTTATTATGCATGATAGGTGGGCTTCCTCTTCCACTCTGTCCCTGTTATAAACATATACTTATGCAATACCGTGATCTCTGGGTTGAATCAGTCAGGGAACTCAAGGGGCCAGCCTTAAGTAATACCCCTATTGCTTCTGCATAAATCATGTACAGTCAGTAATGTTCAACCTGTTCTTAAGCTTGAACTCCAGGGGACATGATTCACATGCACCTGCCAGTGAAGACACCCACCAGAGGGGCCAAACAGACTAGACCATGGCTAAGCAAGATTGCTCAGAGGATATTAGGGTTAGAAGTCAGGTTTCCTGTTTCCACTAGCTCTATTTAGAATTCCAGTCCTCCTCTGCTGAAAATACTCATGTGTCATCATCCACACTTTCTTACAAAGCTCTTATACCTCCTGGATGAACAAGCCCACACCTTAAGACCTCTGCCCTGTATCTCCTCTTATAGCTATTGCCCATATATTTTGGGGGGGGGGGGTGGTATGCCTTGTGTGACATGGGGGATCTTAGATCCCTAACCAGGCTTAGATACTTAACCAGGGGTCGAAGCCATACCCCATGCATTGGGAGCATGTAGTCTTAACCACTGGACCACAAGGGAAATCCAAGATATTGTCCATGTCTTTAAACCTGGGGTATCACATTGGCCAGGAGCCCATGAATGTCTCTTGGTACCTAGAGTTTATACCATTTAACTAGGTATATAGGCACTTCCCTGGTGGTCCAGTGGCTAAGAGTCTGTGCTCCCAATGTAAGGGGCCCAGATTCAACCCTGGTCAAGGAACTAAATCCCACATGCCGCAACTAAGACCCCAGCACAGCAAAATAAACAAATAAAAATAGATATTAGAAGAGATATAGATGTAAAGAACAGACTTTCGGACTCTGTGGGAGAAGGTGAGTGTGGGATGACTTGAGAGGTTAGCATTGAAACATGTATATTACCACATGTAAAGTAGATAACCAGTGCAAGTTCAATGCATGAAGCAGGGCACTCAAAGCCCTGCGACAACCCAGAGGGATGAGGTGGGGAGGGAGGTGGGAGGGGGGTTCAGGATGGGGGACACACGTGCACCCGTGGCTGATTTATGCTGATGTATGGCAAGAACCACCACAATATGCAAAGTAATTGTCCTCCAATTAAAATAAATTAATTAGTAAAAAAAATTAAAAATAAATAAAAATTTAAAAATAAAGATGTATATAAAATTACAAATACTGAATTGGGTATAAAGTTTAATAAGAATGAGAAAAAGTGAGAGTAGATTATAAATTTTCTAAAAGATTTTTAAAAATCACAAAATCCAGAACAATAGCATATGGGTTTCATTCATTAAATGCCTGACACACCTCTATAATAGCTTACATATTCATTAAATGGCCACAAGGTCACTGCAGCTGAGATACCTTACCTTTGCAAATTTGACCATAGGAGCTTGCAGCCGTGGAAGGGGCCTGGCCCAGGAAAGGCCCTGGAATTGTCACTTCCCTGGCCTCACAGTTCATTGGTCTTTAGTCACTGGCACTGATTCACACCACTGAGTCAGTCTGCTCAAGACTGGCTGCCCTTCCAGAGCTCTAGCTCTGCTGCTACTCAAGTTACATGAGCCAATGACATATGCGGTTGGTATTTTCTGGAGTTTGTCCCTTTAAAAGTTGGGACAGACTTTCAGGCCACACAAGCTTAAAGAGCTCTGCCCCGGGTATCATGGGACTCCAGATATTTATCCAGCATAGCAGTGCTTCTTGTGCATTCAGCACTGGGAATGCTACAACATTTGATTGCATTATGGTTTAGCTGCTTACTATGGTTTGTGCTTTTCTGGGAGACGGTGTTGGGGTACATCTAGCCAGTTCTCATGAATCCCCACATACACATATGTGGTATCTCATTGCTTGACTTAACGAGATACCATTTGACCCTCCCTTCTTAACTCACTTTCTTATTCTGTGCTCAGAACATCTGTTTGTCACCTGCACTGGTGATCCCCAGAGTCCCAACCTCTGCATTTAAGGATCTAGACAGTGTATTAAAAAGCAGAGGCATCACTTTGCTGACAAAGGTCCGTATAGTCAAAGCTATGGTTTTTCCAGTTGTCATGTACAGATGTGAGAGATGAACCATAAAGAAGACTAAGCACCAAAGAATCGATGCTTTTGAATTGTGGTGTTGGAGAAGACTTTTGAGAGTCCCTTGAATAGCAAGGAGAACAAACCAGTCAATCCGAAAGGAAATAAACCCTGAATATTCATTGAAGGACTGATACTGAAGTTGCAGTTCCAAAACTTTGGCCACCTTATACAAACAGCCAACTCATTGGAAAAGACCCTGGCAAAGACTGAAGGCAAAAGAATAAGTGGGTGGCAAGGATGAAATGGTCAGATAGCATCACTGCCTTAATGGACATGAATTTAAGCAAACTCTGGGAGAGAGTAGAAGACAGAGGCGCCTGGCAGGCTACAGTTCATGGGGTTGCAAAGAGTCAGATACAACTTAGCGACTGAACAACAATATCATCTTTTTCCTTTCAGAGTTCCCTTTATCTTCTAATCATTTTGTACCAGTGTCCACAGGTACCTTCAAAATAAGGTACCTTTAGTCATCCCAACCAGTTAAACTCTTCCTTCATTCCATATTTTCAACGTCTAGCCCCAGTACACTCAGAATAAGCTTTGAGAATTTAGAGCTTTAAGACTATGCATTTTCTCACTAAAAACATAGAGACAGTCTTTTTATTCTAAAAAACTTTTATTGGGTAGGGGTCAGATAAAGTCCAGGGCCAAGTTTGAGATTTTCAGTTATACTAAAAGAAAAAGGAATATTACAAAGGCCTCCCTTAAACATCAGCAAGTACAAACACACGCTTAGGTCCAAAGGACAGGGAAAAAAGAAAGCAATATTTTTTTCTCTTTACCCAATTATATCAGCAGCTCTGACCAGATACACAAAGTACAACGTCAATTTTTCAACCAGCTCCTCAAACATTCATGGACTGAGCTGAAGTACCAGACCCCAAGAGAACACTGATGACTCTGTTTCTATCTGGCAGGGGTTGCTAATTCATTGAGAGTTTTAGAGCACAGTCGTGATACTGCCTGCTCACTATGGGGACAAGCCAGCTAAATGCGGGGACCCCTGAGACCTACCTATCAAGACCTTCCACTCAATAACCAGGGATATGAATGACCAATCAATGTTTCATTGTGAAGGGCCTCTCTCTTGAAATAGCAGACCTTCCCTGCTTCCCAGATTTAACTGGAACAAGAAGCACCAGACAACCTGTAAGCCCTTTAAAACTCTATTTCCTGTGGAGGGGAAACTCAACATAACCCGGGGGTGTCTTGGCCCTAATTCAAGCGGCTTTAATTAATGAAGGTCCAAAGACCCTGTTAAATGCCTGTTTCTCCTATAAGGTGATTCCACAGTAAGGGCCCTGAGGACAGAATTATAAATAACTCCCTGGCATATTTTAAGAAAGGTTGTTCTGTGAAATTTCCAAACCAGTGATTTCTCAAGTACCTTGTAAAATTCCCCTTCTGTGGCATTTGGGGAAAGCCAAATGAGCATCAGAAAGTTTAAATGCATATTTTGAGGCGATAACACATCTAGAGATGAATGCAGCAGCTTCCTAATAGGCAAGCACAGAGGCTCAGGGATACCCTGTATCTTTCTTAGTATCCATTCACCTGAGGACTGGTTCCTGGATGGGCAGGAGCAAGTCATCAGCTCAAAGATGTGCCAAAGCCATTACTTGGAAGTCATTCCTAATGTTGTTTTACTAACTCAAGCATGCTCTTATTTCCAAACAGCTGCAAGAATGATTTTACCGCCAACTTTTAAAAGATACATGTCAATGTATGGCCAAAACCACTACAATATTGTAAAGTAATTAGCCTCCAACTAATAAAAATAAATGGAAAAATAATAATAAAAAATAAAAAAGTTTAAATTATTTAAAAAATTTTTTTAAAAAAAGATACTTTGTAATGTTCTGAGATGTTGTGACCTGCTGTCATGAAACAGAAAGACAGAAGGACTCAACGATGCTGTGAGGAGAAGAACCTAGAAGTGGCAGAGCAGGCATGGAACCCAGGCCCTCAAAGGCATGCTGGGTCAGGCGTTAGGCAGATCATCTCATTGGGGAGGGCAAAGGTCAGTGGGGCGAAGCACTCTTTCTCATAGTGCCTGTGGGCTAATGTAGGTAAGTTCCCTTATTAGGGATGATGCAAATCCAGACTGGATCTACAAGAAAAGCCCCACAGTATTTTATATAAGTATCATAGAGTCCGGAGCATGACCAAATGGACGTTTCAGGGCCCATTTATTCCTTGAGAGCAAGCTACAGAATTCCCAATTTATTTATGCAAATAGGAACACACACACAGCCTCTCTAGGAAGGTAGGAAATTTTAATTAAAATGATAAATGCCACTTTCAGTAATAAAGCTTTAATAACCTTGGCAAATAGAATAATGATGTTATTCTTTCCCAAGGCAACGCGGGTATTTTAATGCAAGTCTTTTTATACCTCCCATAAAATTATTCTTGAGAAGAATAGCACCAACTATTTAATATCTTTTTGAGAGGGAGGGATCCTCACTGATAAGGTCAAACATGAAGAGCAAAGACTCTGGAGCCCAAGTGCCTGGGTTCAAATCTCTATTCCATGATCACTCGCTCTGTGACACTGAGCGGTCATTAAAACTGTGTCTCCGTTTATTCATCTTTAAAATGAGGCTAGAGAATTTCCTGGTGGTCCAATGGTTAGAACTCTGTGCTCTCACTGCTGAGGGCATAAATTTTGATGGCTGGTCAGGGAACTAAGATCCCACAAGCTGTGGCAGAGCCAAAAAAAAAAAAAAAAAACAGTGGGTAACAATATACCTCTTAGAGTTGCAGTGATAATTAAATAACTTAATACATGTAACTTACTTAGAAACTATACCCAGCACAAAGTAAACAGTCAGTAAGTGTCAGCTAATACATCACCACCACCACCCCGCCACGACCATCATCTTTTCCCAGGGCATGAGAAAATGTGTACTGACCTCCTGTAACATATCAGAATCCTCGATGGCTTTGACGGCAGATTTCTTGGATGTTTCCTGAATTTCTCCACCGATGATAAACTCATCCAGGATAAAATAAGCCTTTTCAAAATTAAAGATAATGTCTAGCTCACAGACCTGGTAAGACAAAAGCAAATGTGTTGATAAACGTGCAGCAGTATCAGGGGAAACACGTGCCAGGGATTCAAACTTTGCAACGATGACACCCAAGTGGCACAGCAAAGATAAAAACATCAGATGGTATTTTTAAGGCCAGAAAAGCAGAACTAGGGGAATCCGAGCCCTGAAAAAAAAGCAAAACCACATTCTATTAAAGCAGAGCATGTCCATAGATAATACTGTTTAAAGTCACAACAGGAAATTTGAGGCTTAGTCGAGGTGGGGAGCTGCCCAGTTCATCCTTCCATCAGCACAGGCAAAAGCTGAGTCCTTCTGATTTCAGGCACAAGGGCAGCTTCGTTGTTCCTGATCACTGGTCTGTAAATTTGGCTCCTAGCTTTAGAACTCTCAGAAGCTCATTCTTCAGAGGCAAATTAGCTCAATTGTGCTAATTTTCCTCAAAACTATGTCTCAAAAAAGTGGTTCTCAAACTTCAGAGTGTGACCCAATCACCCAGAAAGCTCACTGCACACACACTACTGGGCCCCACCTCTGGAGTTTCTGATTCAGTAGGTTAAAGCCTGAGAGGCTGAACTTCTAACGGGTTCCCAGGTGAGGCTAATGGTGCTGGTGTGGGGACCACACGTGGAGAACCACTGCCACTGTCGCAGACCAGTGCAGAGGCTGATAGATTTGGTTATAGGTAGCAAGTAGCAAGACCCATAATCCAAATAAGGCTCACTTCCAATGCTTCCACCAGCCAGCCAGCGAGGCCCCATCCCTACTGTTTTCCTTCCCACATAGTCCTCAACTCTCCCTTTCCTTTCCCTCCAGAATGCCTGCTCACTGAAAGCTTTCAGTCTCTCTCACCTTCACTGCTCAACAGCACTTGATACACTTCGCCAATCCCCTGCTTGAAAATCTCTTCTTGATGGCTGCCTGATGCTGGCAATACAACTCAATGCCTGTTTTCCTCCTCCATCTCTGATGATTCTTCCAAGGCTCCTTGGATGATTTATCTCTCCCTGAACCTTGCATTCATTTAAAAAGTATTTACAAAACGTTTGAGACACATCAATGGACAAAGCAAAAAAATCTCTGCAGCAGGATACTCACATCCTAGGGACCTGCTTTCCTCTTAAAGACTGATGCTTCTCAAGAGAGCCTCTTGGAAACACATACACTCTCCTGGACGATCTCATTGACTCTCTGCAGCTGAGTCTTGCATCAGGTGACTTAGCAAACTGAGATGCCTGGGCCTGATCTCTCTCAGCAGTGCTCATCCAGTACCTTCACCCACTAACCAGACATCTCTACCTCCATGTTCCTCCATCCAAGTCTTTGAATCCCAAACTGAAGTCAAGCATATTCCTTTCCCTTTAGTCCCTACTTTGCTCAATAGCTGCAACCTCTATCTAGTAGCTCAATCTCATTTATTCTACATTTATTCCATTCCCCCTCTCTCTCCCACTTCTCCCTCCCTTGATCTCATCCCTCTCAATTTGATCACCAGCTCCTACGGATTCCATCTTGTACAGAAGCCCATAACCCTTCCTCTCTTGCCCATTCTCACTGCTGCTGCTCAGACCTGCAACATCTCTTACTTAGCTTGCAGTGACCTTCCTGGTGGTGTCTGTGCCCACAAGAGGCCAACGACCACTAATGTTTTGCTGAAGTGCTCATCAGGCTCCTTTGCTGGGTGAGCTCTTCTGTCCAGGACAGTCTGAATTCCTCAGCACAGCACATAGGAATCTCTCCAGCCCGGCCTGCAGCTTGCTCATCGGCTTCTTGTGCTGGCACCCACCCCATGCCACAGCTATGCATTCTACAAACTCACCCCATTCTTTCCTGCCTTTGCTCCCTGCACATTCCAGAAATTCCTGGAACGTTCTCCAAAAGACCTTTCCTTTATTCTGCTGACAAAATCAAGCTCATTTTTCAAGGACAAATTCAAAAGTTATAAGCAAAATGATTCCCTCAAATCCTCATTTCTCCCTTTGAGATTTTGCATCACTTCCTGTGTGTTCTCTCTTACATCTGGTGTGACTCAGTATACACTTACATATCAATCACTTCCCCTTGTCCTGTGAGCTCAGGCACAGACCTTGCCTTAGTCATCCTTGTGTCCCTGGAACCTGGCACATAGTAGGATGCAATAAATGTCTGCAGCATGAATGAATGAATCAGCCACCACACAGGCCTTGCTTTTATGCTGCTGGGGACTAATGGCTTCCCAGATCTACAGTCCTCTGGTTTTTATGACTTTACATAAAACAGGTGTCAGTATTTTAATAAATTACTTCATATATTTATGCTTTAGGTCAATAAACTTGCAGACTCTCCAACTGAACCTAGAAGCATAAGAACAAATAAGTACAAAATCACTATAATATATGGCCAGCTCAGAAAAACTAACCTAATTAATCTGCAAACATTATGGTCTCTTCATTCATTAGAAAATAGCATCAAATCAACAAGTATGGGACTTCCCTGGTGGTCCAGTGGTTAAGACTCCACACTCCCAGTGCAGGGGGCCAGGTTCCATCTTTGGTCAGGGACAATCCCACATGCCACATGGTGTGGCCCAACAAAAGAAAAAGGAAAAAGAAATCAACAAGTGTGTGTGTGTAACACACGCATCTAAGTTCCCTCTCCCTACAGGGTCTGACTCTTTGTCTCTTTCCCTCTCTCCGTCTGTCTTTCCACACATATACACAAACATACATATATGCATATACATAAAGTTTAAAATGAGAATCTGTTCACTGGGACATGATACTATAATCTAGGACTTCTCCAGACCATTAGGGTTTCCTCTTGAGAACAACCATCAGAAAAAGGATGGCATTATAAAAGTACATGTTCTCAGCTTATAAACCCATTCTTTTATTTCTAGAACACTTTCACTCCAGGAATTTGAATGACAGTGGAACCAAACTTCTCAGGCAAAAATGTGGAAAGATCAGAGTATAGGTTAAAAGTGGAGCACTGGATTGGGGATAATATTTGCAACATATATAATAGAAAGGGGCATACCCTATACAAGATATAGAAAGTGAAGTTAAAGTTGCTCAATCGTGTCTGACTCTTTGCAACCTGATGGACTATACAGTCCATGGAATTCCCCAGGCCAGAATACTGGAGTGGGTAGCCTTTCCCTTCTCCAGGAGATCTTCCCAAACCCAGGTTTCCTGCATTGTAGGCAGATTCTTTACCAGCTGAGCCACAAGGAAAGCCCAATATATAGAGAGAATTCCTGCAGATCCCTAAGATAAACACCACAGCATAAAAAATCAAATAAAAGCTGTCAAGAAGCAATTAATAGACAAGGCAAGCAATGGAAAAGGCCAATACACATCCAGTGACATACATAGCTGCACTAGTTATCCGAAAAATGCAAATTGAATTAATGACCATCTGACTATTACGAAGAGAGAATACTCATTGCTGTTAAGTGTATGGATAAATAGGTACTCACTGCTGGTGGAATTTGTAAACTTTACAGGCCATTTTGAAGTCTCAAATTGTAGTGTCCATCAATTTTGAATGTACAAATCCTTTGACCCAAGAATTCTGAAAAGAATTTATTCCTATGCTATACCCAAACTAATACACAATAATATGTATTAACAACAAGGATGACGGTAACATCATTTTTAATAACAACTGGAAACAACTCAAAGTCCAGCCATAATGGAATTGCTTAAATAAAGTATGGTCTGCCCCTGCTTGGTATTGTATCGTATACCATGGAAATTCTATGTTTAAGTTGGAAAGAATAAAGTAGATTTCCATGGATAAGCAGGGAAATAGTTTCTAAGACAGGCTAGTAAGAGGAACAACAGAAAGTTGCAGAATAATATGCATAATGCAATCCCATTTTTTTTTTACTTAAAAAACTGTATACATCTAGAAGGATACATTAAAAAAGGATACATAAAAAACTGCAATTTTAAACAATACAGATAAACGGGAAGAAAGCACCATAGATTAGACATTCATGCACATCAAAGAAGGTACAAGAAGTAAGCAGTTACCAGAGGTCAGAAGAGGCGGGAGGTCAGGAGTTACAGTAGTAAGAGCTGGGGAACCCCAGAGTTCAAGGCAGGTGTAGACCAGGAGTTGAGGACAGACAGGAACCTCATTAGGAGAAACCGGCAACCAGAATCCTGTGAAGTGAACTTGACAGATACTAATCCAAGTGCTCTGGGAAGGTCTCATACCCCACTCTCCACTCTTCAAGCAGCAACTATCCCCAAGGCTATCGACCTCACCAGCAGCCACAGGACAATTAATTTAGTGCACCAAGTTTCAAGGAATGGGACAAAGTAAGGTGACAGGCAAAGCCAGATACTCACAACACCCACACACCCACACACACACACACACACACACACTGATTATAGTTACTTGTTCCAGATCACAAGGGAACTTGTGATGTGCGGCACAAGTTCTGTTGGCCTTAGAAAGAATGTTACAAATGAGCAAGACTCATATACAGCAATTCCAAAATACTATTCGCTATTCTTTGAATCTAACCCCAAAGGGTTATTGTACCTGAGAGTAAGACAAGAACTTAAGATCTAATGCAGATTTTTTCAGCTCCTGTCTAATTACTCAAACATTACTTCTAATTCTACCTTCAGGGTGCTGCCCCACTATATCAGAAATACACCCTTGATGCTCAAATGAGTGCCCTCCATTTTATGCACAAGCTCATGGCTTCCGTGTTAATAAACACGTGAGCCCCTTTCCTCATCTTTTCTCATTGTTTTCATGTCTCTGTATTCTGGAAGAAAGCCTATAAAAGGAAGAAGCAGCGGTCACTTAATGTTATCTTGGACCCCCCAGCGTTGTGCTTGACTACGATTCTCCTGCAATTTGGCTTGAGGGACTTCTATTAGAGCAGAACACGTGATGTAGGGAGAGGATCTCCAGCGTTTCAATAATTAAATCCTTTTGGATAGACTCTAAGAAGACCTTCCCTTACTGAATTCTGTTCTAAAGAAAATACAAAAAGTTCAAGTTACATACAGCAGGTACATAAATGTATATATAAAACAATAATGCAAAGTATAGAGTACATAGCAACTGACAGTTTACAAAGTATTGTTAATTACACTACATCTCTGGTCCTCACAATAGCCCCCAGGAGCTTTAGCAAAGTAAATATTTCTATTAAACTATGTGTGAGTCATTTTTCTTATCTGTGAATCAATGGTGAGCCAAATCATGGGTTTGGTGAGAGAGCCGGCTGACACCAGGGTCCAGGAGGACAAAGAGCATCCCTCTGCTGACGACAGAAAAACTCCCGAAATCAAGATCAAACCTCTCTGGGACAGCAACATCCACACCATCAGTAAAATCTCATGTGGCATCCCGTAATGGGAAATTGGCAGGTGTCTAAATCCTCAATCTGACCCTTATCTCCTGACCCTAAGAGGCATTGCCTCTTAGCCTCTATAAATTGGGCTTCATGCTACTTAAGGAAGACCAAAAGATTAACCAGTTAATCCCTATAAATCTCTTGGGAATTGAAAAGTGCTAAAAAAAAAATACATAAATAAGTAGCCTGAGATTTTGATTCATCTTTCACAGGAAGGTAATATTTTCTAGGGTTATGAGAAGCTCAATGCAGGTATTTTTCTGGGAGAGTGTAAGGGTAAAATTCAAGGAAACCTTAAATATTAACACAAGAGGAAAAGAAGACCAAAGAGAAATATATTATACCTGATATGATGTCATGAGACTCAGTATTGCTGGGTTTACTCATCACAGTTAATTAATAAAAACCAAACACCTACTGGGCACAGAGCCTTGAGCTGCTCTTAGCTTAATGAAAGATTCATTGAAGTTTTTTTAGTGCATTAAATTTTGGTCCATGACAAAGACAGGGCTTCTAAAGGTATGCCAAAATAGGATGAAAAATTAATGTTGGAGAAATTGGAATGCATTCTGATTCTGCTTATCCTTTAACTGGGTTTAGAATAAGTGAAGGTGATTCAATTCCCTTGAGAAAGCAATGTGTTCTGAAATATCTGATATTTGGGCAGTAAGATTGAGATCAAAATTCAGTCCCAATTCACATTATCACTGTTGGATACATCTAAGAAAACACAACAGGTCACACCACAGTGCAGAAATGAGGGGGAGAGGGCAGGTTATGGGAAAGTCTGAGCCTCAGGAGAACTCTTTTGCAAAAGGCCAAGTCGGCAGTTTATTTCAAAAAATGTACCACAATGTCAGAATTCATTTGAATAACTGAAGGCATAAAATTAAATAAACTCCAGTTTGAAAACATGCCATTACATATTTGGAAATATCTCTTTAAAAAATGAAAATAAACTTAGTGAACCAAGAGAGAGCAAAAGAAAAATGGTCTGTCTTATCACTTCTAAACACTGACCAACAAACTGAAATTTCTGAAGCAATATTTAGGTCTTATAACATCATTTACAAAGAAAAAAAAAAAAGGAAAAATAAAAGACAGAAAGGAAGGGAGGGAGGGCAAATTAATCCGGAAACCTTCCAAGAACTCATCTTTGTGAAAACTGCTGCAACAAATCTTATAAAATCTTATCCAGTACCTCTAATGCTGTTCATTCCATTATATAGAATACACTACAGAAAACTCTTAAGGAAGCAAATTCTTCTAACAGTACTTAAAAATCTTCAGTGAACAAGGGAGTGGGGAAGAGAATATTACTGAGAAGAACACATTTTCCTAGTCTACTAATTCATTTCTTGAGACTGTGAACTAAATAAAAAGTTTCCAGAACATTTGCTATAACTTGACCCAGAGCTGGTTCCAAGTGTCGGAAAAAACAAACATGTAAGTCCCTGGTCATGATCTCCAGAGACTTGCAATTTGGTGGCAGGCAAATGGTGTACAAGTTGAGGATAATACAAGGTTGGTCCGTGTTGCTGGAGCACTGGCTATGCCAGGGATAAAAAGACAGAAAAGTGAGAAGGTTGGAGAAGTGGGGTCTGGGACCGATGTGTAGAACAAGAAAATGCCGGGCTAAGAAATTTGAATTTTATCCATTAAAGCTGGAGGAGAGTGACTGAGGAGGCATCTCATCTGAGATCGGTGCCTTGGAAGGATGGTGATAATGAACAGGCCAGGAAAGGGAAGCAGAGACGAGCCCAGAAACAGAAAGGGGCAAAGCGGAGGTTTAAAAGAAAAGCAAAACTGTAATACCAGTGAGAGTGAAACAAGATGAGCTTCAGTCCAATTTGAATAGACGGAGGGAGACTTAAGTAAAGGGTGGAGAAAGATGTAAGAAACAATGTCCTTTTGCACTGAAAGATCCTGGGACATAATAATTCTAATCACAAGACTGAAGAGGTTTTCAGAAGATGATTTTAGTCCTTGTCACATTAAGGCTGAGATGACCACGAAGAAGCCCAGTGAAGACCGTCACCAGCAAAGTGAAGAAGAGCCATCTGGTGATGGGTTTCCAGGAGAGAAAGCCTAGTGAACACACAGGAGAGGAAAAACAGCAAGAGGACACTTCAAAGGGAGGGAGGGAGCTGGAGAAGAAATCCAGTTGGGGTCTTGAGAAACACATGTTGAGTCAGCAGAACTCAGGGTCAGGGGGAGACAGAGAGGAGCGGATTTAAAGACAGGGTTGTGATGAGCAAGGGTGCAGGGCTGCAGAGACGCGAAGGCGGGTGAAGAGTAAAGAATCATCACTGGTGTTGAGCATTAAGATTTCCTTGGAGGAGTAAAGGTGAAGTCAAGCCGTAAGCGCAACAAAGTACAAGTTCTAAAATCAGGGCGGCTCTGAGAGTATGTTACTAGGAGGTAAATGCATGGAGGCTGGATGGCAACGTGAAGGGAAAGGATTTTGGTCTTCTTTCTTTATTTGTCTTACATACAAATAATATTAAAAAACACTTGGGTGTTTATTAAAAGAAACCAGCGTGTGATTCGTGTCCAACTCTTTGTGACCCCAGGAACTGTAGCGCACCAGGCCCCAGGCTCCTCTGTCCATGGCATTCTCTAAGCATGAATACTGGAGTGGGTTGCCATTCCCTTCTCCAGAGGATCTTCCCAACTCAGGGATTGAATTCAGGTCTCCCACACTGCAAGCAGATTCTTCACCATCTGAGCCACCAGGGAAGCCCCCCAAAACAAAAACCAGAGAGGGCATTAAAAAGTCATAATAGAAAAGAGAAGACGGTCCATGGAGACAAAGGGACAAAATATTAAGGAATCCTTCACAATTAAATTCCAGTTCATGGAAGCAAGGTGTCTAGTTGTGGCTCAGGCCTGGAGATACACACGCCACTTGCTTCTGATAAGCTTTGGATCTTCCATTTACTAAGAATTACAGGAAGTAGGGAAAGCCTTCTGTTCTGGTCCTCAGTACAAACATAGTTCATATCTTAGACTTGACAGAGAGAGAGAAGAAATGTGATGACAGACTTAGAACTGAAGTCAGAGTTGGGGTGAAGACCAACTCATTCTAAATACCAGGACACCACTTACATTTCCAAAGTATTTGTCCAGCAACTCCACATAACGATGCACAATCTCTAGGGTCAAGAGCTCATTGTCCTGATTTTCTACTGCACAGCAAAAATATAAACTAGCATACCTTGAAAAGGAAAAAAAAAAATATAACGTAAAATAGGATGACACATAACACAACCTGATGATGGTTTTTTCTATGAATATGCAGTTACCTCCTCCTCTCCAGGCAGTCTCCCTGTTCACATTCAAGACGGAAACATCCTTCACCACATTCAATATCCTCCCAAAATGTAAAACAGCATACAGAAAAAACATGGTGGTGACTGGATCATTTCCGTTAATTATGTGAAAGATCCTCAACAAAATTGTACCTTGAGGCGCTGTGATCAGGGGACAAAGTCCTTTAATCGGTGTCTATTCATGCTTCTTTGGTTGGTGAATTGTCCTATCTAAAGTCCAAACCCCCGACCAAGGGGCCCAGGGGCCCACAGTGCCCACCCTCTCACTTTACCTTGTACCACAGTATATCCCATCTTCAGCTTGTTAGGTCCTCCCTCCATGTATGTTTCTTCTGCCTAGAATACTCCTCCCCTCCCCATTCATGGGGCTCTCTCCTACTTCTCCTGCAGCTCTGAGCGTGGGCGTCCTTGCCCTCAGGAAACCTCTGTCCTCTCTGACTGCCCTGGATGCCCCTGCCACGCATTGCTGTGCCTGCCCTTCCCGCAAAGGGTGTCTAGCACCATCCACTCCGTAATTTCATGGCCTGTCTCTCCCCCACTAGATCAGTGGCTTCCCAAAGGTAGGTACTGAGTCTGCCTAGTTCACTGTTGTTTATCCAGTAGCTGTAAACAGTAGCTGTTGAGAGAACTGCTGAAGTCTATTTTTCATGTAACAGTTTAAATCACAACTGAACCCAAAGTTGTAGAAACCAGCAGGCAGAGAGAAGCAAATATTCCCTTTTGCCTTTCCATCCCTGAGATGCTTAATACTGTAAGGTGCCTTTGCTTACATCTCTCATGATGCTCATATGAAAAGCTTTGACACAGGGCCCAGCAGAAGAAGCTTTGCCCAGGCACTTCCTGGTAATTTACTCCATTAAATAGAGCCTTCAATGTTACCCTTGTCTTTCCCCTTCTAGTTTTGTAAACATCCCTTGTGAGAGCCTTTCTAATGTGCATTTTGCTTCTGAAAGTTGCAGTATGATGTTAGATGCAGGGTCACATCAGTTATGTCCTGGTCCTGGCTTAGGCATCAGTTATCTGGGTCTTTATGTTGAAACGACTTCACCTCTCGGGGTCTCGGTTTCCTCATCCAAAAAGTGAGGTCCCTTTCTAGTATGGTCATTCCATGGCAACCAGGTGCAGTAATGATAAGATATAAAGGCTTTAAAATCAGGGGAAAAAATCTGGATTTTTCTGCCAGTTACCACACAATTATTGCAACTGGGGATTAATTACTTAAATTCTCTGTAGCTTCAGTTTCTTCATCTGCAAATCTGAATAACAAAGAGCTTCTCATCTTTCTAGCACATTAACCTTTTTTTCTACAGCATATTACTAACTGAAACTGTTTTGTTTACTTAATAGATGAATAAGTTCCAAGAGACCAGGAATGCTTTATGTCTTGTTCGATACTGCATCTACAGTCATTAGAACAGTGTTGGAAATATAATAGATGCTCATAAAATATTTCTTGAATGTATGCATATATTATCAACATGTAAATTATCTAAAATAAGTATCTAGAATCCATCCTGGTACATGGAAAACCATTCAGTAAATGAGAGTTCTCTTCTGTTTAGCCTATTGGTACAAACATTTGGGCTTCAGCCTTCAAAGTTTACAGTAAATGATGGAATTGGTACTGCAATCTAAAATGCTTAGGATTAAACAAACGAAACAGTAATGAGAAATTCAGTTCTCAAAAAGTTACTCACACCTTTTATAAACAAGTTTTAGCTCCTTCCAGTCAACGAAACTGCTTGTTCTCTGACCACGGGAGAGAATAATCTGAACAATTTCGCGCGTGATCTTTTTCCTTTCCTTGTCAGGGAGAGTAGTATACCATTTCTGCAGCCGTAATTTCCCTTGTCGACTGAAGAGCAATATGAAATGTATCTAGAACAAATAAAGGACAGGGGGAAAAAAAAGATGGAATTTGGTCAGATAAATCATTCTACCACAGATATTAAAATTCAGCAGCAGGGTTTTCAAAGGAGTATAAGTTGGAACAGAGGAAAAATACTTACAGCATGAAAACTATCCCACCTGGAAATGACATTTAACCCAAAAAGAACAAAGAAATGCATACAGTGCAAACATAACTTATTTATACTACAGGAGAGAGATAATTCATTTTATGAGTCACAAACTCATTATAGGGGTATATCATCTCTCCATTTCTCCCACCTCCCCAATCCCTGCAACTACTGTTCTACTCTCTGCTTCTATGAGTTTGATGTTTCCAGATTCCATATATAAGTAATACCAAGCAGTATCTGTCTTTCTGTGCCTGACTTATTCCACTTAACGTGATGTCTTCTAGGTTCATCCATGTTGTTATAAATTGCAGGATTTTCTTCTTTTGCAAGGCAGAATAATATTCCATTGTATGTATATGTATATATATATGCATATAGACACACCATACTTTCTTTACCCATTCATCTGACAATGGACACAGTTTGATTTCTATATTTGGGCTACTGTCAATAATGCTGCAATGAACATGGGGGTACAGTTACTGCTTTGAGAAACTGATCTCCTTTCCAATGTAAACATACCTAGATGTAGCATTTCCCTTGGAACTATACCTAGAAGTACTATCATATGGTAGCGTTACTTTTAAATTTTTCAGGATGGCTGTACCAATGGACATTCCCACCAGCTGTGTGCAAGGGTTCCCTTTTCTTCACACCCTCACCAACACTTCTCATCTCTTGCCATTTTGATAACAGCCATTCTAACAGGTATAAGGTGACATATCATTGTTCTTTTAATTGAAATTTCCCTAATGATTAGTGATATTGAGCATGTTTTCAAATACCTGTTGGACATCTATATGTCTTCTTTGGAAGTATGTCTCTTCAGGTCCTTTGCCAGTTTTTTAATCAGGTTATTTGTTCCTTGCTATTGACTTGCTTGAATTCCTTACATATTTTGGGTGTTAACCTATTAACAGATGTATGATTTGTAAAGACTTTCTTCCATTCCATAAGTTGTCTTTTTACTCTGTTGTCTCATTTGCTGTGCAGAGGCTTTGCACAGAGTTTGATGCAATCTCATTTGTCTATTTTTGCTTCTGTTGCCTATGCTTTGAGAGTCATATCCAAAATATCATTGGCCAAACCAATGTCGATGTCAAGAACTATTTTCTGTATGTTTTCTTCTAATAGTTTTACAGTTCAACAGTTTCAGGCCTTACATTTAAAACTTTAATCCATTCTAAGTTGGTTGTTATATGTGAAGTGAGATAAGGGTCCAATTTCATTCTTCTGTATGTGGATATTAGTTTTCCTAACCATTTATTAAAAAAACTGTCCTTTCTCCACTGGGTGTTCTTGGCATCTTTCTCAAAGATCAAACTAAGTCTCAAATGTAAGTTCTTTGAGGGTTACTTGGCTGAGACATTTGGAATCAAATTATCTTTGGCATCACAATAAATATTTAACAATTTAGATAGTGTTGACCACATTAGGGAGAAGCCTGATTTTATTTTCAATTAAGTTTCAAAATGTGTATTTGAAATGCTTGTTCCCATTTAAGTGAATTTTGAAAGCTTTAAATGAATAGAAGACACTGTGATATGTAGAAACTTACTGTGGAACCTGGGGGGTAGTAAAGATTTGTTTTTCAGTAATTGTCAGATGATCTGATCTTCATTTTATAAGAGATTAAGTTTTCTCGGTCTACAGTATAAAAAGATCAATTCCAGAATCATAATTTATTTTGTAGTTTTTTACAAAATGAAATTCATTATTGAGGTTAATTGTGTCATGGAGGGAATAATATATACTAGGAACCAAAATAATTAAAATTCTCAAACTTTACAAATATTCAACTCTTTTTATTAAAGAGATTTGGCTCTGAATGTCACAGCATATGTCATATGTCATACAAACTCAGCAGGTGGAGATATTTGAAAACCAAAAGAAACCAGGCTCTTTCTTCAGGGCATCCCCTGAAGAATCTGAAGTCTTCTTAATAAGTTATATTATCTCTTAGAAAAAAAAAAGACCTTATAACAAGGTCTTGAAAAACCAAGACATAGAAAATGAATAGAAAGCAAGTTATAAAGTCCTGCTCATCTAGCCATTTTAAGAAAAATCACCCTCAGTCTGGAATTTTAAGCACCTAGTTAGAATATAGCATTTTCTTAAACACCCATTTCACTATCAGTGCAGGTGTAGATAATTCAATAATGAAATAACCACCACTTTCTAAGAATCATATTGAGAGAAAGATATTTTTAGCTTCTAAGAAGAGATCATCATAAAAGTGACATTCTAAAAGTACAAAATTGAATGGGAATAGAATAATAAAACTTCAGGATCTTGAGAACAAGGTTCAGCTTTGGATTATCACCAGTAGATAAGACTATTCAATCCTATTTCAAGTGAGTGGTCAGATCTTTGCTAGAGAAATGAAATTCACATATATTCTGGGTGTTGACTTTGCATCTTCTATCAGAACATTTTGTTCTTCCCATGTAACCTAAATCTCTTCTGTTACAATTTAAACTGATTTTCCCTGATTTTATCCACAGAGCATGTTAAAAGACAATATATCACTATCCTTGAAATAATAAGTATGTCTCCACATATTTGAAGACAGGCTTTAAAGTGTATCTGGAGTCTTTTCCTTCCAGAAGAAATTACCTGGTTTCATGTCTCCTTATTGGTTCTATTACCAGATTTCAAAACTGTCATTGTTACAGTTCCTCCAGGACTACTTCACAGATAAATGTCACATTTAATTTAAAGAGCTCAGATCAATGCCCAAAGTTCCAGTGAGAGGCTGGAATTATTGCTGAGTTTAATTATGGATTACTTTCTAGTTCTCTTGCAACCTTCTCTCAATATCAAATGCCTGCCTTCTTAAATGGATCAACAAGGTAGAAAATAAAGAAAGAACTCTTTTTCATTCTAACAATGAATTCAAAGAGAAATGATGATCAAGAACATAATACCCACATTCATAAGGTCATTTTAAATATAAAAATGTGTTTCAGATTCAAAAGAAGCAACAAATAGATTCAAGTTTTTCCAATCATTGCATTGATTAAGACAGTGATGAAAGATTTCATTTTCCCAGGTTCTACTCTGAGGAAGAAGGAGCTTGTGTTGTGGTGCCTGGTGTCTGTTACATCTCAAACTGAACAATGGAGCATGAGAAAACTGGTGGAATGAATTGTAGTGACTCACAGGAGTTCATTGCCTCTAGCAATTAATGTTTTCCAATTTATCTGCTTAGTCAGTCAAGGCATATTTGGATAATACATTTCAAGAGATTAATCAAATACCATTTTTGATCAGCATTAGCTTAAAGAGTAGGAAAAAAAGGCAATTGGAAAGTTTTTTTTTTCCCTAATATACATAGAGTCAACTTAAATTCAAGTTGATGTCATGAACAAACTTCATCTGACTTCAGAAAACAACACCTAGGCATTTTGTTTCAATAACATTGCTGAGAAGAAGGGAGTAATGCAGAGGTTGACTGGTAATCCTCTTCTGGGAAATGCCAACTCCAGAAATAACCCTAAAATCCAATGCAGTGTGATGAGCAAGGCTGACTTCTTATATCTGGGCCAACTGCTCTGGCCTCGGGTGGGCATCTGGCTTCACCGAGATCTCCCTCCCTCATTCAAGGTTAACCTGAGATGATCTGAGAGGAAATAATCACACTGGCAGCTAAATTAACTGTATTTCAGAGACCTTAAAGTACAGATTATTTATTCACGAAATCCATATTTACTAAGTACCTATTATATGCACCATGAACCTACAACATGAAACTTCTTTATGTTCTTTACGTTGAACAGCTTTTAATCATGACAAAGAGTCAAAAAAAAAAAGTAAATGTATTTAACTAAACCACAGGCCTTTACATCTTCTGTTGGTGGTTGGTGGTTTAGACACTAAGTTGTGTCCAACTCTTGCGACCCCAGGGGCTGTATCCCACCAGGCTCCTATGTCCATGGGGTTCTCCAGGCAAGAATACTGGAGTGGGTAGCCACTTCCTTCTCCAGGGGATCTTCCCGACCCAGTGATCAAACCTGGGTCTCTTGCACTGCAGGTGGATTTTTTACAGACTGAGCTACCAAGGAAGCCCTCACCTCTTCTATCTCCCAAAATGCCACTAAAATGACAATAGCAAAACTTCTTTAGTGCATTAACCCTCAAAGGCCAGGAGAATGGCAGGGGATGTGAAAGCAGCCAAGAGATTTCAACAATTCTTTGGAAGATGGAAGGAGACAGAAGACTGATAACTTAGCAAATTAAGGAAAACTGTAGCTTGAGGTAGATTCCAAAGAGGAAACCAGAGAAAGTCTGAGAGCAGCACTTGGGGGTACCATAGCCCCCCAAAGTTCTAAAAACAGGGACACTGGCTAAAGGTCTACCTACAGAGTGGTTGGCATGGACCACCTATGGCATTCCTGGGGGATTCCAGTTAAGTGAGAACACTGACGCATGTATACACACACAGAACACATGCTTATACACACACTCCACAGTAAGCTCCCAGCCGCTTTACTCAAGGGTACAGAAATTAAGTGGGATCCAGGTAGCTGGGGCATCTCTTGGCTCAGCTTCCTCTGGCCCCCAGTCAGTAACAAGTAGCAAGCAACTGGCAATGCCAACAAGGCTTGGTTTACCCAACCTGAGAAGCTCAAATCTGTGCAAAGCCATATTTCTTCCCAGGTGGCCGAGTGGTCAAGAATCTGCCTGCCAATGGAGAAAATGCAGGTTCAATTCCTGGGTCAGAAAGATCCTCTGGAGGAGGAAATGGCAACCCACTCCAGAATTCTTACCTGGAAAACTCCATGGAAAGAAGAATCTGGCAGGTTCCATGGGGTCACAAAGACTTGGATACGACTGAGCATGTACACACGCATGCGC